GTCAAGCACTTGCAGAAGTTACAATTCAAACAAAAAAATCAGAGCCCTGGCTGGGATTGCACAAGGCAGTTCACATGCCTGAGGCAATGCAAGCAGCTTGCTGAATCACTGACAAATACACTCCCAAATTAGCTATTCTTTTACCAGATTTTCAGCATTTTTTGGTCAAAAAAGTCTTCATGGTGCTACACTTGAAGCTTCAGTGCTGCAGAAGGGGAATTTTATCGCCACTTCAGAGGCAGCACCACATACAAGAGCTGGCAAGCGGCCTTGCTGCAGCCCTCTCRAGCCACAGGCTACCAGGTAGCTGCAGCCTCGTCCTCGCGGGTGCCACGGCTCCTGCTGTGCAGCTTCCAGAACCCCCGAGCACACTTGCTTCTGCTCCAGCAAAAGAGATCTAGATTTGTGATACACTGACTCAAAGGAGTCATACAATGAACTCTTAAGACTATGGTAGGTTACCCTGCCTAAAAAAGGGCCCCTGGAGAGATTAAGTATTACAGGATAAGTGAGAGTTTGATGACTATGGACATAGAGGGCGACAGCTGAGGAAGATCTAGAGCTGTCACTGGAAACAGAAGTCATCAGGCTTCACAGGTCCCAAAAACAAAACGAGGGAAAAAGGGGATGGGAAGGAAGAATATGAAAATAGAAAAATCCTTGGGCATACAAGTCAACAATCAAGGATAGAGCTTCTGTTGCAGGAGCTTGGGTTATATCATTCAGAACAATTATTCTCCTGTGAAACACTTCTCATGAGGTGTTGTAGATAACCAAAACAAAGGAGTGAGGAGGGACTGGTTTGCTTTCCAACACCACGGGTAGTTGACACATGCTACATTTATTCGTATTTTCCGCCTAAGCAGGGAGTACACAAGTCCTATGCATAAACCCCTCCTGTTCTGAACAAGATACCACGTGGTTTCATCAGAACATCTTTGCTATGTTGTCAGTTTTAATTGCAACCCGTACTTCGATATGCACATGACTATTTTCAAATACAATGAAAGCTTAAAATAAACAGCATCAATCACCAGCATTACAGCTATTGGTAAATCCTTCACAACTTCAGAAAAAGTCTCTTATAAACATTGTGGAAAGTAGATACAGAATGTACAGAGGACAGTTTTCTATACAAAAGTGCATTGTAGCATACAATTAGCAGAGAACCCAGAAGAAAAACAAAACAGAGAGAAGCCTCAATTTAATCAACTCCATTCACTCTAATCAGCCCATCCAACCTTGCACCTCCTATTCTCCCTCCATCCCACAAAAAGAGCAAAAAGAAAAATGAAAAGTAAACCCACGCATACCACAAAACTCCACTTTCTCCTTGCTTTGGTTATGAATTATACTCAAGGCTTCAACATCACATTTTTCCTTTGTATTTAAGAATTCATTTGCAATTTGGAAATGTTTTACAGGGCACCAGATAAGAGAGAAGTGCAAGTATGATTAATGAGACTTAATAGTCAAAATAGACAAGCTTTGAATTTCACTAACATTTGCACTTGATATATTAATAAGTAATTCTTGCAATCCTTAAGTGGAAAATTGCATGTTGAACAGCTATTTCTGAGTCTAAGAACTGCAAGAACAGTAAACCCAAGAACACTAAACCAATAAATCCAACGATATCGGCCACAAGAAAATCTGGCTTATAAAGAGTGAACTTCAAGAGCACCCCTCCAAAACAGTCAGGTTATTAATATTTATAGAACAAGGTATCAACTGACTTCAAAGCTCGCAGAGTTTTAGGAAAAAGTCGCGACCTCAGGCCATTTAGCATAGACAAATAGTAAATATTGCTATTTTCATATGCTTCTCTAATATGCACTGTGATATAAAAGCATATGAATAAATTTAAGCAGCCTTTCCCTCCCCCCCTCCCCACCCCAAGAGTAATGTCACAGGTTTCAAACCACAATATAAGGACTAAAATAATCCAGATGCAAAGTCTGGCGAGACTTTGCTCATTCTTCTCGGTAAGCATCTTATGCTGAATGTACTATACCCATCCTTTAATGAGTTTCCCAAAGAAAAATGGTTAATGTCTTAACAGAGACAAAGGGTTCTGAAGTTAGATACACGCACAAAAATTAAACAGGTCTGTCAGGCAGCTAGTTTTCTTCCTCATATTTAAAATCATATTAAAAAAGAATCTTCTCTATTGTTTACAGTCCTTTTACAAGCAGAATTTCAGTGCTCCTTCTAAGCCTTTTTAGAGAAAGGATTATCACRGAAGTAAACAGCTAATGTTACAAAGTGTAAACTGATTACATTCATATTTTAGTGGGTTCAAAGCACCTAGATACAGAGCTTTGGAACCATGGAGTCCTACAACTACTAGCTTTTTGTTTGTCTGTATTTTATTTATAAGCTTCACACTTCCATCAGTGAAAAGGTAGAGATTCTATCCCATTTTAAAAGAAATTAAAAAGAATTCTGATTTTTAGTAAGATCTTATTTTGCTGCTTTGCCTGTTGGCCATTGCTGCTCCTACCTCATTTTACAGAAGCTGATCTAGAACTTGACAGGTTCAGACAACTCTCACATGACAAGAGACTGCGAAAATTAACTGCTAGACTGAAGCCACAGGTATTCAGCACAACCTGGAAGCACCCAGCACACYGCAAGGAAAGGCCCCAGCATCTGTCAAAAACTCACTGGGCTGGGGAAAAACAAAACAGAACAAAAAGTAGAACTACGAAGGATCTGATACAATATTGGGCACTGCAGAGTGCAAGGATGCCACCGCTATGGATAGCGCAGCTATTTCAGGTCTGATCTCCTGAGATGCCAAGTATTTCAAGTCAGAACATAAAGATCACCTGTATGCTAATCAGAATGTCCCCAATTTTAGATTCTTAAGCTATAAACTTCCTGAAACCAGAAAAATACAAAGGTATCAGCTGTTAATTCTAGTGCTTCTGTAAACTCACTTTGCTCCTTTGAACTGTTACAGAAATGACTGAAGGTCCCAGCTGGAAAAGAGCTGCTGCTCTTGGCAACTGTGGCACCCAGGAGAGGAAAAAAACAAAAGAAAAAAAATACTCAGCAAAACCCATGGGATTTTTAAATGCTGAAGAGCTGCTGATACACTGCCAYAGTCCATCATATCGAGGCACTGGGCCCTCCATGCAATTATTGTAGAGTTTCAGTGCTCCACAGTATCAAGCGTGCATTTATTTTCTGGGAGGAGTGAAAGCGAAGAAGAGATTCATATTTCAAAATCATATCCGAAAATAAACCTTCTACTGAACTATAACAAATCCAAGAATGAAACACTGCATGATTAATTCYTTCATAACTGCCCTGCTAAACTGCAAGAGTTCAGCAACTGGACCCTGAAACTAGCCAATTTGACAGAAATCTTTTTTTCCTCCAAGACTTTAAAAAATGAACTCCACATGCAAGTCAATCTACATCATCAGGAAGTCATATACTGTTAAAAAGTTTTTCATAGTGTTTCTACAGGAAGAAAGAGTACATCTCCAAGTAACAGTCACTTCTGATTAGTAGCCAAGTGACTAGCAACATGGGACAGGTAGAATTCAAGTTTAAGATACCACTGCTTAGCTTTTAAGTGATCACTGGCTAAGCCTCAGTACCTGTTGTCGCAGTGAGTGTTCAAATTGACATCTACTATTTTGACCACAGACCTCATGAACTTCTTTGTTGAAGCCCTTTCTGAGGTTCTAATTTAAATATTTTCCTGTTTAGATTGTTGAGGCTACACAGAACACCCCTCTGAGGGAAATGGACTTGAGTCTTCGTGGAAAGCTAATGCATCCTGCAGCAGCATCCAAGTGGTTCTCAATCAGCAGTTTGTACTTAGAAAATGCAGGCCTGTATGGTGATAGGAAGGCAATGCTAGAAGTGCTACACTCCAATTATCTCCTACAAATATGTTAATTATTACTTTCGGTTTTATTCTGATACATGACCTCAAATGCATTATTTATAGCTTTTCAATACTGTTTCTCCCCAACTTATTTTAGCAACCTGACAAGACGGAAATTTAAATAGATCCCACTAGAACACCACCTATAAGGGAGTCTAAAAACTGTGCACAGTGAAAYGGATATGAGATCCCACGCCTACATAAAATCATGAAATTCAACAGGATTGGGCTATATCCTGCATTTATAAGTACCTGCAGCTCCAAAGTGGACAAGAATTCTCTCACTTCACAAAAATAAACGTAACAAAGCATCAATGTAATAAACAATACTTCAAAATTTAAAAAAGTTTTGTAATCCTTTGCATTTTGCACTGAAACTCAAGCATAAGTTTGCACTAAAAGAAGCACAAGTTTTGTCAGAAGCAAAGGGGAAAAAAGGAATCCTGGAGCAAGTAGTTCCAAGATAGAGACAGAAATCACTTTACAGATTGACAGGTTTAATAAAAAAAAAAAAAGGTTAAACCTCTTAACTTCCCTATCTGAAAGCCCCAAGTTTGCCTCATTTTTCTAAACAATAAAATATTCCAAAAGCAGAGTTCTGGAACATTTTAGTAATGATCTGACAACTGACAAAGAAAACCTATACTCTGCTAGGTGGCAAAGTGACTGAGCATATAATTAAAAACACACAGCTGCATTAAGTTCTCTTGCCCACAAAATGACTATATTTAGATACACTTCTGAGTTGAAGGAAAAAAGCAAAGTTGTTGTACTTTTCAGTAGCATTTTTAACTATTGCAAATAGCATACTAGCCAATTTAATTGAAGATTAGTGTACTTCTAATGCATACAGACTTTTATTTGAATCTCTTAAGAGCAATACTAGGGATGTGGTGATTAACCATTAGCAATAATCAGACTATAAGACATTGAGCAGCAAAATAACTTTTTAAATACTAAGTTTGCAAATATTTTAAATTGTAAATGTTTAGTAAGCTTTAATTGTATTACAGGTTCTCTAATTTGGAAGTCCTGCTTCTTGTTTTCTCTGTAGTTTGAGAAAAAAATCACAACTTCTAAAAAGGAGATTTATCACAGTATTTTGATTTTGTATGATCCAAGAGCAAGATTAAAGAAAACTCTATATAATWAAAGACTTGTTTTTCATGCTAAACAGCCTTCCCAATAACAGAGAAGGAAGAAAGAGAATAGCCAGGAGTAACATTAACTAACGAAAAAAATAAAAAATAAAGAGCTGAAGCACTGAAGCAGACTACAGCATGCTTAGTGTCATCCAAAAGCATCATTAGACTGATTTGTTTAGGTAAACAACACATTAGCCAAATTAACTTCTCCTTAAAACAGTAACTACTCAGCAGCTTTTAAGAAGTCAATGAAGTTTCTGAAATTTCTGTTGCAAAATTAGCCTCAAAAAGTTCAAGTTACTCAATACCTAAACGTCTTACCAAAGTTACAGTTGAGAAAGGATCTGGTTTATATTGTTAACGCTAATCAAAATTTGGTCAARAAATAMATGTAAACAATAAGGATAATACATTTAAGGCTTAGAAAGAACACTGATAAATTCACCCCTGTCACATTAAAACATCCACATCTCCTTCATGGTCCTCCTCAGTCACTTTTAAAGATAGCACTTCTTCATTAAGGAATAATCCACTCAGTCTTTCCTTACGAGCCTGTCTTTGTTCTTTCAGCTGTCTCTTGCGTAAAGCCTTTTGCTGTAGTTTCCGCTGCTTAGAACGTTTCTGCCAAAACAGAGACAAGATAAAAAAAATAAGATTTTGTTCTGTAGATTAGAAATTGCTTTTTAAAGAACAACAAAAAAAAAAGCATATAGTAACCTCTAAATTAAGATTAGCTCTGAAAAAAAATAGTTGATATGACTTGTTAGGAGTGGTACAAGCATTCACCCCAAAATAAACTTATTATATCTTGATTCAGCTTTGACCACATTAGGTGAGTATTTAAGCCCTGTTCTACCTTGCAAATCAAGAACATTCACCAYGTCTCAGTTAAATGGCACATGATCATCCTGTTGCGTTGTATAGCTGAGTCTTTGACTAGAGATTGTTTTTTTATTACAGAAGTTATAATCCTACAATAAGGAATCAAACCAAAGTCCAGCTTGGGATGTTGAAGAACAAGCAGGAACTGTTCTCCTCCTCCACACTTGAAATTATGGAGACAGGACAAGTGCCACAGCGCTACTTTTATTGAGTCATGCTTCAGTATGTCCCTTCTCACCAGGTAATTTCATGAGACATGCTGGAAGAGTAAATTGAAGATGATTCAAAAGGCCTGATGAAACTTCTAGCCAAAATTACAAAGCGAGTTTATACTATCCAGAAAGTATGTCTAGATTAATTTAATTTTGAAGCAATTTTATTGATAAAACTGCATGTTCATTCAACAAATGAGATTAGATTCATTAGCCCTTCAAGCACTCACCTTACTCAAAACATCCAAAAGCAATGAGAAGATCTACCACATACAAACACCAACAGACTTTCACTTACAGAAAAAATGAGGACAACAAGAGTTTACATTCCTTATGGTCACATCAGAAAGCAGTCAACATTGATTTGCCTAGATAATTTCAACAGATCCACAATTACTAATCACACTCCTTCAGTACAAGTATCCCAATCAAGAACACATGAGTGACTTTAACAAGTTACACAGCTTAAAACACATGCACATGATTAGAAACTTTACTTTTGAATCCCGGATTCTTTCTGCAGCACTTGTGGACAAGTTACTATCACTGTGGGCTCGACTCATGTTGGCACTCGAGTTTGAAGCAGAGTTGCCAACACTAGAACCACTGCTGCTTGCAGAGCTGACCATGCTCGCGCTGCTGCTGCTGGCACCGCTCACGCCRCTGGTGCTTGCACAGCTGTAGCTACTCCTCTTCCAGCCTTCCCTGGCAGATCGTTGTCGCGGTCCATGTTCCTTGATATAGTTTCTCACCTTCAGAACAGRGGCAGCAGAGTTACTAAAGCCTGATAAATACTGTACTGGAATACTGTGTTTCATGGCAAGATACAGTTAGCCTATTACTATCAAGTTACTGGATTAACTCAGTTAAACAGTGAACTAACAGTTTAAACACTTTGCTGAGGCTGGTTAAATCCAAAGCTGACAACCATCAAGAGTTGGCTTAACATCTTCAACGTTAATTTAAATACAAAAAAAAGAAAAAAAAAAAGAATGCAGGGCTTTGTGTGGGAGTGGGAAGGCCCCCTCTCCCTCCCTGCCCACCCCCGCTCAGTTTTCTGCTAGGTAAATAAGTGGTGACACCACAATCACTAGACAGGAACATCAGTCAATTTCAACTGAATTAAAGTACTTAGGCACAACATCAAAAGTCTTTATTCTGCTGAGTATATCCAAACAAAAGTGGCCATAAGGAAAGAAGTAGCTTTCTACTTTAAGATGGTACTTATGAATTGCTGGTAATGTGAATCGGCATGGAGCCYGTCAGGATTCTGTATGCTGTCTTTCCAGAGGAACACATTACAAATTAAGGAAAACTAAGACAATAGCTTATCTACCATGCCAAACAAAATCTTTCTGTACTACAAAATGCCAATTATAATCTCTTCAAATGCATTGTTTTAAATTCCTTACATGAAGTTCACAGTCTCTCTCTCTCTCAAAAAAAAAACAAAAACAAAAACACACACCATTGCAGTTTTAAACTCTAGCTTACACTCAGTGAGGAAATTAAGACCCTGTACCAGCTGTTGCTTACGAAGGGGATGAATTCTAGTTATAAATAGTAGTGGTCCCAGAGCATACCCCACCACWTACATGCCATCATTTCAACAACAGCTGCTAGACTTCTCACTTACTGAGATTATATAATCAAAGGTCTTTCATCTAAAGCTTCAATATCTACAATACRCTTTTGAACTCTAGCTTTCTCCTTGATGATAGCATAATTTGTGCTTTACAATATCTATTCATATAYGAAGAAAAAAMTGACCACAATCCTGTAGGAGACTTKGCAAGACATACCACATACCAGAGGGCAAAAATGACAATATATACAAATCTTAACGTACCTGTTTCAGCTTTTCATCGGTGAGACAGTTCAATTCAATAATAAATTCACTATCTGTAGGTGATATCTGAGCAGTAGGATCAATAATTTTAATAATGTCAAGTTGCTCTCGAAGGCCCATCTCTGTACTGACTTTACGGCTTAAGTACTCAATATATTCAACCTAGAATCCAGAGAAAGGCAAGTCATTTTTAAAATACTATTCATTCCAAACAACAATTAAAAAACAAAAAAAAAGTAAATGAGCAGAATACAATGTTCATATATCAGACTCCCTATTATTCTTGCCTCATTTTTGAATATCTCCTAAATCAAGATGAAAAACTATACGTTAAACTGCCTATTAYAGAGGAAGCAGATAAGAAAATTCAGTTTCAAAAACAGAAAAAAAATCAAATACTAATGTATACGGCTTCATTTAAATCTGCAGCAACCTGTATGTCTTAAGATGTAGCGCTAATTAAAAATTCTTCGTATCTTTTACTGTCTCACATGGGGAAAAAAAGTTTCACCTGTTCATCATTTGTCATTGCACTCCATGGAAGTTCATCGAGATTCCTATGCTTGTTTTTCTTTTTTGGAAGCAGACACGGAGAGCTCGGAATACTAGGTATAACATCAGAAAGTACATCACTCCCACTTGCAATGTCGCTGCCAGGCAACTTGAAACATGCAAGAGAAACAGAACAAAGCCTCAGAATACGGTGGGCACGTTTAAAGTCATTCCAACACTATTAACAATTCAAAACGTACTGTCAAATTAGCAGAGCATCGGTTATCTACGCACGCCATCAAACTTCTTAATAATTACTCACAGCCCCGCAGTACTTGTTTTAATCTTACAACAATTTGTAGAATTGACATATATCAAGTCCAAAACATACTTATTAATCTTCTTAACACAAAAACGTAGCATTTTACTATTTGCCTTTCCCATGAAGGCTGCAAATCATCCATTACAAATAAATATAAGCCTTCTCTGCTTAAATATAATTCTAGTTTAAGATCATACTTAAAGTAAATTAGAAACCTACACCACATGTAGTAATTGCACAAGACAATTGAATTAAATCACCATCATTTTCCTGGAAGCAGCTGCAGCATTAGAGCTTCACTTACRCAGTTGACACTAATTTAGGAATGCACCACCAGTTCAAGGGACAGTGGGATTACTCATGCTCAGAGTCTGCCAGGTAACACTGCAAAAAGCTATGGAAAAGCCTTTCTAAAATTCTGCCAGTCCAATCAAGTACATCTCTTAATAACAATTCCTTGCTCAAACAAACAAAAACCAACCAAACTACTTACTAATCAAAAGTGTCAGCTAACCAAAAGKTAGCAAATTGCTTCTTTTCAAAATAATCCCACAGTCAATCAGGCAATTAAAACCACACAACTCAGGGCAGAAGAACTGACTCACTGAGATCCAATCCAAGTTGTTTCTATGGGCTGCATTACATAAACACACTTGTAGCTTCTTTAGCACAGATTACATACAGAAACTAAAACAGTAAGAAATTCAGAGCTAATTTCAGTCCATATTATCTTAATTTGCATTTTCTCTGTAATCTYTGCAAGATTCATACTTTCTTGAAATCAGTTTTTCACCCTTTGAGACATCATTTAAGACCGGATATCCATGACTTTGTGACAAATTTTGAAAACACCTTTCAGCATATTCCAAAGCACCACATTTCCTATTTCAAAGTCACATATATGTTGACATTTGGTCAAAGTCTGTAATATGTATATATTAAAAAAATGCACATCAACTGAAATACTGCTGTGCAAAGGATAAAAAACACGAACTACTGATACTTGACCAGGGGGAGGGCAGCACAGAATTCACTTTTACACTTTTCCCAACCTCGGGAGAGCCAAAACAAGCTCTGTATTCTYACCAGGACAGAAAAAAGATGGATACTGGACATAGCAAGAGTTTCTATATTTCACCTACTGACACCTCCATTTCAAGGAAGACTCCATATCACTAAATCACTGGAATCAGACATCTACAACCACAGGTTGTTAGCAGCAGAGATCCCTCAACACACAGGGCCTACACTCATGGTTACAACCTACAGTCAGTCACTAAAACCACATAACCCTAATACATAACAATCCCTCTGTGAGGAACTGGCCTTTGCCTTACTGCAGACCAAGAACTCTAGAACAAAATAAAACACACTATTTTCTTTAGCATTGAAATTTCAGGTTTCTGCCCTTAGGCTTCAGCACCTACCAAGAAACAAGTGCTAAGGATTTTTCAATCAAAACTAAGCTCATCATTTAATAGTTTCTCCAAGATTTTAGTTTTACAATAGAATTCATTTACCTGCCATTCAAACTCGCTGTCTGACCAGTCCCAGTATGTGCTGATAGAGGAGGAGACATCGCTACAGACACTGCCCTCAGGGAACAGATCAAAAGAGGTGAATTCCTGGTCATCGAGCAAGGAGAAGCAGTCATCTTGATCACCAACCGAAACTGATGAGAACAGCTCCTCGCTGCACTCTGAGCTGGCTACGCTAGTTCCACAAGAAGTCAAGTTCCACCTGCAAAACAAGCCACCATAACAGAAATCAGCAAACATTTTGGCACCATTTGTCCTGAAAAATGTGTACTTTTAACTCTCCAAGTTATCTCCACTTTTACTTGTCAACACTGATGCATGGATTTAGTTGAAATAAGTTGTTATTATGTAAATACGTGTATTCTACTATTTTTGAAAAGCTCCACAAAAAAAGAGCAAAGGAAATTTGACATAAAAAAAATGCCCAAGCAAAAAGCCATACACAGTTAGTATAGCCACACCTTTATCTTTAATGTATCAGATCTTCTACTACAGGAACCATGCCCCTAGGGTATATGTAAATTCTTTTTTGAATATACTAAACTAAGAACAGTTTCTCATACACTGGGATTTTTTTTTTTTTAATAAACCAAAATACACAAAACTATGCAGTCAATTAGTTTGCTTCTGAACAGGATAATTGTTTCTAATCCAAACAGGAATCAAAGAATAATTCTGGAATGATAATCCCGCAGAAAATTAATACTAGGAGAAGCATGTTGTGGATACATCCAAGGCTTTATTATTTACCATTTTTAACTCTGAACACAGAAAATACTGGACACACCTTTGGGAACAGGGCCAGATGGAAAAATAATCCATGTGAAAGCCCTGCTGAGTCAAAACCTTTTCCTCACATTTACATGTAGGAGCTAGTTAATGCTGTTGCTAAAATAAAGCATTTGAGAACTCAGACTTGAGAGAACAGGTTTTCACTCAGTGACAGTAAACCAGAATTTAAAGAGCTCATGAAACCAGTCTTCGTATCGGGATTTGTTTTACAAATTGGTGAAAAGTAGGCCAAGACAACTATGATTCAGCACAGCACTGCAATATGGTCATATTGAAGTAATTTGAAGAGAGCTCTGAAAATTCACCACACAAACCCCTGCAATCAATTCCTATTCCATCAACCTATCCACTGCGATCTGGCTAACTGGAAAAACACTTCCCTATTCCACGTTGAAAAGCTGAACAATGCCATTAGCCAGAAAGATCAGTATTCACCTTTGTTATTTATACTACCTATGTGGTTGGAGGTATAAGTAACACATTTTAGTGATGTGCTCTCTTCCATGCCTATTCGGCCAACAGTAAATTTATCCAACATTAAAGGCATAATTTCAAAGACACTCCTCTTGGCAGCCTCAGGAACCCCTGTTCTCCCTTTTGGCTTCGCTTGCACCTTTGCTTTTGAGGGCTGGCCAATGAATCAGGATGCAGAATACGCAAGTGGCGACTTGATGCACGCTTAGACATCAGTGCGGTTTCAGCACTATGAAACATCAATGAAAAAGAGAAAGAACGGACAAAGTTTTCACAGAACCACAGAATGGTTGAGGTTGGAGGGGCCCTCTAGAGAGCATCTAGTCCAATCTGCCCACTCAAGCAGGTTTTGGAGCCTGTTAAAACTCAGTCCAAGGCACTGAGCTCYGTCACAGACCTCACTGTGTTTACTGGCACAGCCAGACCCTCGCAGGGCAGCGCTCGCTGTGGCTGCTGGCATGAGCTGGGTGCGCAGAAGTGGGAACCACCTTACAATTACCCGTGCCTTTGAAAAGCAGAAAGCCTCTGCAAATACCACAGGAAAGCAGCACATTGTAATGGCTTCACTGGAGCAAGACAGGGCATGCCCTTGCCCAGAGAAGCCAAGTGCCTAGTCAGGAAGCCTGTGGTGCCTGGGTTTGTAAAAAGAACAAGCTGAGATAACCCTAAACTGATAGGCAACATATAAATGGAAACCTATGAAATGAGCTAAGGGCAGAGTTAGCTACTACCATGCATTTGTGTTATGGATTTGCTAGAAATATTGAACACCTTTCTGGTCATGCTCCAYGGGGCTGTCTGGTAGAAGAGCATGAAGATATTGTGTTCAATCAATACATTTTGTGCTGAAAGACTTAGGAAACTATGTTTAAGAACTTTCCCTTGTAAACAACACTTTTCATGCATAATTCCCATAGAGCTTCCTAAAAAAAAAAAAATCATTATTAAGCAGCTATATGTTGTGAGGAACTAGAGGCAACAGCCACCCCAAGAGAATATTGCATGGCTCTGCAGCAGGAACAGAAAGCACCCCCAGCACACATACAGGGCTGAACGCTCATAAATCACTCTCCAGAAGGCTACTGGCACGCACAGCTTTAACGCCACCCGTTAACAGGGCCGGGACTAGTCTCTCAGCTAGGCAAAACGTCGCGGTCTCGCCCGCACGAGCGCAGCCGGCCCTTCCCATGTGGACAAGGCCGCGCCGGGGCCCGGCGGGGAGGCCGCGGAGCGGAGGGAGCGGGGCGCGGCCGCGGGCCGACCTGTTGGAGTGGAAGCGGCGCAGCGGGTCGGTGCGGTGGCACGACGAGAGCTGGCAGCCGAAGTCGCTGACGTCCAGGCAGCCCTCCTCGCTGAGGCTGCCGCCGCCGCGCGCCGCCGGCTGCTGCGAGAGCGGCGGGCACGGCTCGTCGGGCGCCAGGAACTTCTCGTAGAGCTCCTCCGTCATGGCGGCGCGCAGGGTGGCCCCACTTAAAAGCACGGCGGGCGAAGCGCGGAGCCTGCTGCGGACACCGGTACCAGGGCCGCCATGAGCGCYGCGCCGGCACCAGGATTTACCTCAGGCGCCGCGGCCCGCGCGCCGCGCTCCTTCCGGCCCCGCCCCGCCGCGCCACACCGCGCGCCCCCTGCCGC